GCAATACAATCAGTAGCATCACTTAAGAGTAATGTGCAAAAAACTATATTCTCCTAGGAGCAAAAGCAGAATACAGGGCAGCCATATGTTTGACTGATGCTCATTGAGCAATTGGTTAAATCCCTGACTATGCAGTATTCCATAAGGCAAAAAGCAGCTGCCTCTCTGAAGTCATTGGTTCAAGAACTTAAGAGAAAATGGTCAAGTAGATTCTACTGTTTCTGTGCAAAAGAAGTTATTTTACCACATGCAGCAGCTAAAGAGTTAATAAACCAAATCTTCTTACGACCTGTCTCTCAGAATGAAATGGCTACATTAGGTCTTTAGCATAGAATCAGTTCCGGGAATTAAGTCTGGACTCATAAGGCATTAGAAATAGAATGGCTTCACTTCGCATGGCCCACGTTCAAAGAATCTGTACTCACCCTCTGGGTGATGCTTTTTCCCTCTTTGACTTGCACTGCCAATCCAAGATCAGACAGTCTGCAATTCCCATTATCATCCAGGAGGACATTCTCTGGTTTCATATCCCGGTACACAATTTTGATGGAATGGAGATGCAGAATCCCACAGGTGATCTGAGCTGAGTAAAAGATGATTCTTTTCATTTCCAAACCCCTTTCTCCCACATTGTAAATGTGATACTTCAGATCCCCTCCATTCATGAGGCTCATAACAAGACACAGATGGGTTTTGGTCTCATAGGCATAAGCTAGTGTGACTATGAAAGGGCTGTTGACCTTCTCCAGGATCTCTTTCTCCAGCAGTGCCATCTTCTCTCCACTTTTCTTTTTCAACCTTTTCTTATCCAGTTTCTTGCAGGCATACATCTTGCCAGTATTTTTGACCTGGATGGCACAAACCTAGAGAAGATGCACATGGAAAGGTAATGAAGGAATTTTACACAGCGAGTGGAATATATCAAGGGTCATAACAGGCAGGAACTGGGGAATCACTGATGTCTATTAGTAGCTGCTGATGCTAACTTCTATGAAGAGTATATTAGCACAGAAAACAAGAAAAAACAAGCACACAATCAGTTCTGTTCTGGACCAGTAGTTTATCCTGATACAAAGTTGTTGAGGATGCCACCAGCAGGCAAATAAAAGGAACAAGGACAAGAACAAAAATCAGAAACCATGAGAATAAGCAGCATATACAGATTGCATCTGTGCAGTTAAACTCTCTTGACTCTCAAAAAACTTCCATACTGCAATTTGGGACAAGATCCTGATGTGTGCTTTTCCCTAAACTGCAGCTAGGAATTATCTGGGAGTGTGTGAGATAGCACAGGCTAATATGTCAAGGAGCAGACTTAAGTCAACTACATGAACATTCATGCAAGTTTTTGTAAAGAAGCCTGCTTTTTTAACTAGCATAGATACACAATATAAAAATGTTAAAGTAGCTTTTTATTAACAAGAGCCTCTATCACAATATAAACAACCCAGCCTGATTTCTGGAAAATGGGCAATCTAAAGGGGCACATTTTACAAATCTTCATACAGTGGCTTAATCCACTGCTCTTTGCAAACCCACCTGCTAGTCTTGAAAGGGGAGAGATGACTCACATCCTTAAAAGTACAAGCTCTTACCTCTCCAAAGCCACCTTTGCCCAGCACTCTGAACTCAGAGAAGTATTTATCAGTTACTGGTTGCTTCTCAAACACTTTCCATTGGATGAATTTGTCATAGAAGGGGCTGTTCTGGAAGTCCTGGAAGGGCTTGTCTTTAAAGAAGACTTTGGTTTCCTCCTTGGCCAGCTGCATGATGTTCTCATAGTCTTTTGCAGTAGCTGCTTTGCATTTGCTGACCAAGTCAGAGCTCATGAAAGACAGATAGTTTTTGGCGCCTTCCTTAAGAAAATTGGTGACAATATTCTCCAGGCTACTGCTCTTGAGATTGTCCTCTGCCAACTCCCAGTTTGACACCTCATCCAGGAAGTCTCTAGCTACCAAATATTCTGGCACTGTCTCTAAGAAGTCTCTGAAGAATTTCTTGCCAATGGGCTGCTGTTCACAGATGCTGTCATAATCACCAGCAATGGACTCTCTATGCTCTTTGCAGTCCTCAATCTTGGGCAGCGAGAGGCTCTTACGCCTCTTTTGCATTTCCTTGGTGTCTCCTTCTCCACTCTTCCTTGCCTGGAGGTAGGCAGTGTTGGCAATCAGGTTGTCGAGCCCCCCCATGTCACACATCTTGGCAAGCCCTTGGGGTGGCAGAGCCTGGTTCAGACACAATGAGTAACTGGCCCAGGAGTTGTGCTGTAGCTGCACTGCACTTCTCCCTGCTAGTGGTGTGTGAGGGCTTCTGAAAAACACCAGGGAAACTAACTGCTTTTGCATTAAATACCTCTCAAGGATTTTCACTAAGTACCTTTAGGTATAGGCACCATTTGTGGAAAGTGACTGGTAAGAGGTTTCTCTGTAAGAAGCTTTGAGTTTGCTATGTATAGCTGAGGGATGACACCCTAGGCAAACCTTCCCACTGGCAGCACCAACCGCACGTGGTTCAGCTGGTGTTTTTTAGAATGGGCCCTGATAACCTTTAAATGTGCCAACATTCCCTCTGCATGCACTGTCCCTGGCTGCTGGGAACATGCAGAGATTCATGGCTGCAATATATGCACTCTCTCCAACTCAGGGGAACTTTGGCTACAGTCATCAGGACAGGCCTGGATCTCCCCCGGTTGACATGGAACACCAGCAGACTAACATCTGGTTTTATGAAAAGCTTTTATCACAAATCTGCCACGCCTAAAAGACCTCGACATGGATGAACCACACAATTCAGTGCTTTGAGCATTCACACCTCTAAAGCTCAAGTTATATTCAACAGCAGTGACTGAGCCCCACAGACAGCTCATGCAAACCCTGCTGCCTCGCGTGGCTCTGTCTGAGCAGATTACATGCAGAGGCTAAGAACTGCCACTGGTCTAAAAATAATGATCCTTATATATGAAACAACACAGCTCTGACTTCATCTCCTACCCACAGAAAAAGGAAAAACACTTCAAATGAACAGCCAAATCTTGCCAAGACACTTCCATATGTTGTTTTGGCCTCAGTTTATTTTCCCTGCTGAGCTTTATGACAGAAAGTGGTTAGATAAGAAGGTGGCAACAGCATATAGCTGAGGTGACATCAACAAAGGGACAAAGCTGATTATAATCAAGTGAAGGCAAATTCCACCTGCACTTGCTGGCTGCATACCAGGAGGCATTTTTTTCCCTTCAAAAGAATAAAAATTATGTGTGGCACTCACTAGGCTAAGCCCCCTTCTGCTGTAGGATCAGGTGGTTTGGCTGTTAAAACTTTCCTTAAATATAAGCAAGGTATTATGAGAACAAGAAAAGAAGTAACACTGGGGTCAAGCTGTACTCTTGAGGTCAAGGTCAAGTTTCTTTTTTCTTTTCTTACAATCTTAGAGCAAGCTGAAGAGCTGAATCACAAAAACTAAACATCAAAAGTAATAACAGGCACCTTTCAGACTCCCTACAGTAAGTGTTAAACCCTTCTTGGCTGCTTTTTTGCCACTCTACAACCATGCAGGGTTTTGTTTTTACATGCTTAATCCTGTCCGCATTGAAAGCATTTGATATAAAACTCATGCTTGCACTCTACAAAATTCCCTTGGAGGTGTGTTTTTCTAGGAGCAATGGAGAGGGCCATGCCTGCAAACTGCTGTGTGTGCACGAGAACAGGGGGAATTGTAAGGCAGACACTTGAAAGCCTGGCCAGTTGTGCCAGGTGAGAGCAAGCCCAGGGTGGCAGGTTATGTAAAGGGCTCAACAGAGCAGCCAACAGCGTGGGCAACACTGCAGAGAGCCACTGGGAGACATGGGGAATTCTGCTGGGGGCTGTCCTGAAAATGGGGCCTACAGCAACACATTCCTCTAATACCCTGGGTAGAGAAAGGCATGAAAGGAGGCAACAAAGCTTTAATTGCAGCTTTTAAAATAAAGCTTTTCATTTCCTAAAGTTCAGTAGGGTCCTTTTTATGTTGGCCAGAATATCCACCACAGCTCAAAGAGCAGCAGGACAAATTGCTGGTAGCTGGGGCCCTAAGGCTGAACTCAAGCTCATTCCAGCTATGGGTATATTCATGCCCAAGCAAACCAGGAAAATTCCTAATGTTTATGGCACCTGCATAAGACAGATACATTTACAGCTCCAAAGACCATTCTATTCAATTAATTAGAATCTTTCCCAGTTTCTATGGAATATAAATTTTCTCTAAAATAACAAAATTTTATTAAAAGCAAAATCAAATATGATCATTCAACATACACTCATTACTCCAGTCACTTTTGAGATCTGCTTGCTGACTTATCCAAATCTGCTCAGCGTTTATTAAACACTGGAGAAAAGCAGATCAGCATTAATCTATTAGTTGATAATGGCTATTTAAGGTAGTGTTACCTGCTCATGAAACAGTACGTTTGGGCAAGAAGCAGAAATGATTTATTTTTCATGTACAGGAGGTGAAAAATTACAGAACTGAACACAGGGATGTACTGGGATGTACTAACAACCATGCTAATCAGGCATAGCAGGGTATGATGTGGAGAAGTTCTCTGGTGTAGACTCACAGGAGGACTGGGACTTACGCTAATCACTAAATCACAGACAAAATATGCAGGACTTAAAATTCATTACCTTATGTTCTAGATGAACCCAATTACTGGTCAACAAGATACTTATAATATGCAAATAGAGACACAAAAATATCAGCTGCTTTGATTTCAACATTAACTTTCCTAATACCTCATTTGTGTCAACACCCCTTTGAGCTGACATGTCGGAAAAACTCTTCCACAACTGCAATTCTCAGCTACTCTTGCCATGCACGTGACATGAGCTAAAAGCAGGGCTTGGTACTTTCCATATTCACCTATAAACCAAAGAAAAATGAAAAAAAAGTGCTCTGATGGGACGAGATGGCATTTGGAGCCTCTGTCCAAATGTGGAGAGAGAAAACAGGTGGTAGGTAAGATACAGTTTGACTGTGACAGCTAAAATTCATTTTCATGTCCACTCAGATTTTTTTTTCCAAGAATTCTGGGAATATTTTTACACAAACAGAAATACTCCACAACAATGTAAATGCTAGAGGCACTTTGTTACTACTGTTAACATATTTTACATTTGTTCTGGGTTTTAAGACAGACATCATCTGGCATAACAACAACTGATGTGATACAGTGTAACAGTGACTCAGAATTTTTTAATCTCAGTGTGTAATCAAACAAAAAAATCAAACAAAAACTACATTTAAAAAATCAAAACATCTCAAAACCAAGATTACAGTATTAAACAAAACCACAGTAAACTCTGCAATATGCTTGATGATACAAAGATTAGAAATATTTTATACAGTGAAGATAAACCTCTTTAAATGTACTTAGAATTAGACAAAAATACATCTACTGAGAAACACATTAAACATTAAAGATTATAATTTTGAAGTAAACAATGCATATTGCTTCAATTTCACCCATATTGATTGACCATTTTATTAAGCCTGAATTTGTTACAGATTGAAAGCAATAATTCTACCTCTCTGTTCCATATATATTTAAAAATCCCACAGCATATGTTCAGCTTCATAATCATCTGGCTATTTAGGGAAAAGACAAAGTTAGAGGCAAGCACTTAAACAGCTGTAAGAAAAAATTCAAAGAAGATTATATATTCAGGATTTCCACAAAAATGAAAAAAATGCTTCCAAAACACTATGACAAATAAAAATACAGAAATTTCTATTAACTGAATTTTCATGAAATCACAAGTTACCATTTTTCCTTAGATTTAATTAGTATCTCCTTTTCTTGGCCTATTTAAATGATCACTTTTGTTTGCTTCCTATATTAATCAGCTAACCAGCATGACTGTCTACACCTCTAGTTAACTGATATCAAATACACGACTTTCTACAAAAAATCTTTGGGTTAAAAACACATGTCTCCATGATCACTAACAGAAATACAAATAAAAAAACTTATTAACATAGTTAAATTTTAATGTTATGGTTGTAGAAATCATGTCTAGAATGTAACAGAGCAACAGATTTAGAGACACAAGAAAACAAAAGTCATAAGGAAAACCTAAATTAGAAATGTTTAATACAGTGTGATGGAAGAAGCACATATGATATGGAGCATGTATGATGTATTTTACACACTGTTAATTTTAGATTAAAACTCAGAATAGTTTCTTAAAAAACACACTGGCTGTGTTTTTGCATACAATAGTACTTAGGAAATATTTTCTTTCTCCTGGCTGTAAACTATGCAGTGTATCAGACCAGGTAAGGTGACCCTTTCAATTGAATTTATTTATCAATGGAAAAAGATTAAATGCTCTGTGTTTAGGGTATAATCTGCACCACTACGTTTCTATGCTCTGATCCAGACAACACTCTAATCATGGCAGATACATTTGTTGAAGCAGCATCTTCTGTTTGAGTTGTGGAGCCCCTGCAGTGAGCCTGAGCATGGACTGAGTGCACCTTGAGCAGCCAGAGGCCTGCACTCTGGTCTTGGAGCAGGTAAAGCAAGTGAGTCATGTCCTGATGGACACGTTCTGCTCTGCATGAGCACAGGGCACAACACACACACCATTCCAATAAGCGCAACAGGAAGAAATCCTTCCAGTTTTTATTTGCCTATTCTCTGGACTACCCAGTCCTGCTGGCAGAGGGGACAGCGATTATTCTGTTTCACCCACAAGGACATGCAGCAATTGTGGAAGGAATGATTGCATTCTCCCCAAACCACTGAAAGAGAAGAAAGAACATGTTCCAGTCACACTCAGCTGTTCAATCAACTCCTACAGCAAGGTTCAAACGAGCACTCTCAAATATTTATAACCACTGGAAACTTCAGACAAAACAGCTCATCACTGAGATTAGATTATTATGATCGTCCTGATGATAGTGAGTTCCACCATCAAGCCTTTTACTTCTTTCCAAATATTAAAAAAAGAAATGCATATATTTTTATTTTCTTGTATAAAGTGACAGGGTTTTGTGACTGCATAAACACATTTAGGGATACGTTCTGCCCAGGAAATAAGTGCAACTATTAAAGTTGCTCCCTTTATCTTCCCCAGTACCAAAATAAAGCCAATGCACTACTGACTCACTATCACACCAGAGCATATCACCAAATTCTCATATGAAAGGCACTGTCTGAACTGAAACGTATGAGAGCAAGGAGGCACATGTGACACAGCATAGTCTTAAAATGGGACTTTACAACAGGAGTTATTCGCAGGCTCCAGTTGTTCCAACACTACAAAAATTGTTATCTGTTATCCATTTACTGCTGAATAATATTTCAAAACTTTGCTTTTTTCCTTATTAGCTCACATTCTCCTCACAAGCACAAAGATACCAATCAAAGGAGCATTGTAAATTATACTTTTTCCTGTCTATCTTAAATACTTAGCAAGCCAATTAAGATATCTTGAACAGGAAAACCCTATTCCCATTAAAGCAATCATCAAATAACCCCAGCAGTTTTTTTGAGACAATACACTTTAAAACACAAAGCTCAACAGCATGCAAAGGTTTACCACTGCATTAAAAGTTATCATAAAGGCTTAAAGCAAATTCTTTGAAATAATTTTCACTATTTCCAATTTAAACACTCAGAATTAAGACCTTCTTTTACACACACTGGCGCTGAAAGAATGATTATGTTTAAACTGAAGTGATTCCACCTTTGAGAATGAAAAGTGAACAACCAAGCCATTGCCTCCATTATCTCTGAATTACGAGTGGGAAAAATACCACTTTCTAACTCAAACACATTTACTTCAGAACTGAGGATTTTTTACTTGTACTACCATTGTGCTTTTTGGCATGTACCTCTGAAGAAAAAAAGCAGCTTTTTCCTACCCACTTCAAAAAGGTACATTATCTCAAATATGCTCACAATGAAAGCGACCTAAACCTCTTAGTTGTGTATGTGTTGACAGGAAATTGGAAGCTGTTTTGTTTTACAGCACAGCTGACATGAAAACTGATTACTGATTTTTTTTATTGCTCAAAAATAAAGCACAAAGTATTACTAATGTAGAAAGATGATACAATGTAGAACAAAACACCAGTTTACTTCTGAGCATTAATAAAATCAGTATTCCCTTCAAACTTTAAAATGCACCATACTGAGAGAAGCTTCAATTGAAAAACAAGCGAATGAAGTCACTACATACCAACACAATCTTCTTGTTTGTTTTCAGCTTGACATCTAAGACAGGCATCTAAAAGTAAACAAGAACAAACTCAATTTGATTCTCAGGATTCCATCTTAAGAATAGGTTTGTCAGAGGAAAATATAAACTCTAATACAAATTTACAGAGGTAAAAGTCTCAAGTTTTGATCTAGTTCAGCCCTTTAACATTAAATAGCCCCCTTAAATTCTAAAACTGTGCAAATGACAATGAAATATATATCTGAAAGAGATCAGAAGGACTCTGAACTCTGCAGCATGTTTTGTTTATTTTCCATTGCTTTGGTATTTTCATAACTTTTGCTGAAAAAAAGCCTTCTCCATTTTGTAGATATAAAAGCCCGCAGATTTGTGCCAAGGCACTCAGGCATATTAAGACCAGAGCAAGCACAAAGCCAAACCCTAATTACAGGACTTTGTTTTCAGATGTCAGCATTTCCTTTTAAGGAAGTCATTCACAATTTTGATTTTTTAGGCTGTGCATCTTTCACCACAACTCCCACCACCTATCACTTTTGATAGTAGCTTCCCTTAACAAGTACTTGCATCTTATTTTCACAGGAGTCACACACGTACAAATACAGTGGTACATTTGATAATATATGTTAAAAAATGCAGAATATATAATTAAAAATATTTATAATCTTTATGCACTCCAGTCTGCAGCTTTAGGATTGGATGGCAGCTCCAGGACTCAGTAAGATACAAGAGTGACAACTTCCAGGCTTCCCACTGTGCCACACAATGCAGTGGAAAACACCTTTGCTTCTCCTTTACCCCAGCATGGGCTGCCACAGACACTCAGGCATGAATCTTGCACAACAGAAAGTGTTCAACTGTTATGTGAGCAAGCACATCTTCATCCCCTCCAAAGGAAAGGAACTAGTTTAAACAAGCGTCCTGCAGGTTGAATCTGGCTTACATGTCACTTGTTGGACCAAATTCTCCCAGAAGACAAAACTATAATGTGCTACAGGAATTTAAATCTGAGTATTTGTGCAGTCTCTGCCAGATAGGGCCAGTATTTCTATTTCAGATTGATCTGCCCAGACATTCCTGCTTTTCTCAGGTAATAGAGAACAAAGAGGAGAGAACTCTAAAACAGCTTCCCTTTCTTCACTGAGATGAAAGCAAAGCTTTCCTGTTGTCTGTCCCTGTAATTTATATTTCAACATCATTAAGGGCCAAGGGGCTGGGAAGATTCAGCCGAAGTGCTTCAACTTGTATCATGGTGAATCTGGGGTCACAGCAGAAAGTCACAATAAATCAGCTGCCCTATCGAGCCCTAGAGCTGCAGTTTCAGACAGAAGCAGCACAGAGAGCCACGGACAGAAATCACTGCCTCCACACCAAAGTAAGCTGTCTCCACTCCTGCGTCCTAACCCCAGCGGGGTCAGACTGAAGGGCTAAGGACAGCAAAGCCAGCCCAGCTGCAATCCTGTGCTTCCCAGCTAACACCTCCTTGCCTTGTGCATCTGAGACCACAGTGGTTGAAGGAGTTAAACCAGAAGAAAATGGAGCCAGCTAACACCTCCTTCCCTGCAAAACCTTCAGCAAGTGCCAGTCTGAGCCTGGCACTGCCTCCCACCTAAGGTTACTGCAGACGCAGTGGCTCTACAGGAGCCAGACCTGCTCTGGCAGGGTCAACGTGAAATTGCTAAACTGAAGTCAGTAATGATCAAGTTTCACATTCTAACAATGTGGTTTGTTCCCAACAAACAGTTACTAGATTTTTTCAGATTTTTTTTTCTAGTTTCAGATTAAAAGTACTCCCTTGGTCTAGCTATGAAAAAATGTTACTTTCTTTTTAAGTTTTATAATAGCTCTGGGTAAGATTTTGTTAATTTAAGACTTTTTTTTTTAGTGTTCTGTAACAACCTAGCTTACAATGGGGATAAACAAGTTTTTTAAATTATGGTTTACATGGTAAATGAAGTCAATTTCATATTTCCAGAGTGGTCTCTATTTACCATAAAAAAGGCAAATAATCTTCAAAACATGTTTATATAAAATATCAATTTCCCATCACTTCAGCCTATGCTTCACCTTTCTTCCTCTTGTACACCCTTTTGCCTCCTCTGTTCCACAGAAGGTTCCCAGCAAAACATTTATGAGAAGTGACAGAACTGTGTATTTTTCCTCATTTCTGTTAAACCATATCCTGACTTTTCAGTATCATGGTTCTTGGCCCTACAAAAGCAAGGTGCTCTGGAGGGGATCTTGGGTCCTTTGTCCTGCCGAAGTGTTGCACACCCAACTGAGAGGACAGCTGTACCTAGGATGACTCAGCCCAATAGTAAAAATTAGATATGAACACACTGTAAAGGAAGAATTTAAACAGGTTTCAAAGAACCAAGATAAATACCACATTTAACAAAGATATCAGAAACAGTAATATGAGTCAACAATGAAGGTGCTTTCAAACAGTCTCTGGATTTCAAAACCAAGTAAATTAATCCCTTACTCAATAGATTTCTCAGTACATTTGTGTGTCTTTAACTACACCAGTAATCACGCTTGTAGAGTAGTGTAAGACACCTTGGTTCAACAGATTTGAAAAATAAATTTTTATGTACATCCGTAACTGCTCCGTGAAAAAAACCCGAACAGAAACCCCTTAACAAAATCCGCCTCATAAACAGCAGCCCCACGCATGCAGCGTTGAGCTCGGTAAATTAGTGCTGGCGAGATTGGCCCGCAGACGAGCCGCAGCCCTCACGACAAGGCGGCCCTGCAGGGGACGGGACCCGAGCAGCGCGGCGGGGCCAGGCCTGCGTGAGGCGCGGCCGGGCACGGGGCACTCGGTGCCCCCGGAGCGGCGGCCCGGCCCCCGCGGGGCCCTCCTCCTTCTCCTCCTCCTCCGGGAAGGCGCGGAGGAGGAAGCGGAGGCGGGAGGGATCAGCCCCCCCGCCTGCCGGAAACCGCGTCCCTGCCCTGCGCCCGCCGTGCCCAGGGCGGCGGCCACGGCACGGCCCGGGCCCGGGCCAGGCCCCCCGCCCCGCGGCCATGGCGCCCGGCCGCCGCTTACCCATGACCTGCACCCGGCAAATGGCGCAGGTGTCGCACTCCACGTCCCAGCTCCACATGGCCACCGCATTCCACTTCTTCAGCGAGAACATCTTGTCGGGAGCGCCCGCCTTGGAGCCCGCGGAGCCCGGCAGCGAGTGGGGGGCACCGGGCTCGTCCCCGTCCTCCACATCGGCCATGGCGGAGGGGCGGGGACGCGGCGGCCGCGCGGGCGGCAGCGCCACCCTCCGGCGGCGGCGGCAGCGCAGCCCCGCCCGCGGCCCCGGGAGCGGGAGCGGCCCCCGGGAGCGGGCCCCGGGGCGAGGAGCCCTGCCCGGAGAACGGCCGCCTTCGGAGCCTGCAGGCACGTCTAGTGCCTCAGCAGGACACCGAGCGGTGCCAGGGTGGCACCTCGGGAAGGGCGTTCTCGTCCGCAGCGTGCGGAATCAATCACTTCACCAGTGCTCTGGCCTGCCTTCAGTACGGGGAGACAACGCAATCTTCCAACTCAGCACATTTCCTAAGACTGCTAACAGAATAAGCAAAACACTTCGGCAGTGGCGTGCACCTTGGCTATCTTGGCAATAAAGTAAAAAATAAAATTATATTAAAGAGTCTATGCACATTACTCAACTGTCAGTTCAGACGCACCTGGAACATGATTAAAGAGCATGTGAATAAGGTCTTTGAGCTTGGCTGATTCACACTTCTCTCACGCCACTGTTCAATTCCCTTTGCCAGCTCCACACCTTTAACTCATCAGTCTTTTCTGTCCATTTCAAAAACCATCATGGCACTTCTGAGTTTGAATTACTGGGACTAGATGTAATCCAGAAAGTTTAAAATATTTTAAAAAATTAAGTACATTTAATTTCTGCTATGTAAAATGTCAACTACCTCTAAATAGAGATTAAAAAAGAAGAAGCAAATCCTGTTGGAGTTTTGGGTTTTTAGATTTATACAATTTGCCTTGTGTCCCTAACTGATGCAATTCTTTAGTTCTAAGAGCAAACAAAGACAGAGATTATAATTGTGTTTGAGTGCTGTCAAACCATCACACCTGCTGTACATGATGCAAAGTCAAATATAAACCCCACTGAGATTAGCAGTAAAAATAGAGCAAATATAACACAGGCACCTTTGACTCTGTCCGTGCTGCCTTAGAGAAATAAAGTGATAGCTTCCCACCTAAAAATTATTTTCTTGCTATTTTAGCATCTAAAGAGCTGGGTAAGAAAAATTCCAAGCCATTTTTGAGAAGTAGTTCTGGCAGTCTGTAATTCATGTGTCCCCTGCAGCCACACCTGACATTGAGGAGGTGACACATGAGAGAGTGGCACAAACCACAACAGCTCTTCCAGAGGGTTTTCCCTATGTACACTGTCACTGATTTTAATTGTAAATAAAAACCACAGTTTTTCAGACTGGGCATTTGCTCATCTCATTCACTGAAAACATTGCAAATTGAGTATCTGAAAATGAGAACTCAAACCAAGTTCCTTTCAGCCCATCAAGGGATTGTTCAGCTAGAATTAAAGCCAATTGGGTGCTACAGAATGGGAAAAAAAGAATGTCTACAATACTAAGTATCCAAATTTGAAATATTGCTTTATATTACATAATTGATAATAAATTAAATTTTTGTAATAATTTCAAAGTAATGATGCAGTGTAACTCATCAATTTTGATGGTCTCCATGTAAAAAATACTCATTCAAAGCTCCAAGTGTTTGACACCCAACTTTGTACCAGCCTAAGTGTTCTGTTCATAATCTTACTCCAATTTCAAATGGCCAGTTCTGGGCCCTCAGTTTGGGAGGGACCTTGAGATGTTTGAGGGTGTCCAGAGGAGGCAACGAGGCTGGAGAGGGGCTGGGAGCTCAAACCCTGTGAGGAATGGCTGAGGGAGCTGGGGGTGTTCAGCCTGGAGAAAAGGAGACTCAGGGGTGACCTTATCCCTCTCTACAACTCCCTGAAAGGTGGCTGTGCTCAGGTGGGGTTGGTCTCTTTCTCCAGGCAGCACTGACAGAATGAGAAGACACCAGTCTCAAGCTGCACCAAGGGAAATATAGGTTGGATATCAGGAAAAAGTTTTTTACAGAAAGGGTGATAGAGTCTAGAATTGTCTGCCCAGAGAGATGGTGGAGTCACCATCCCTGGATGTGTTTAAAAAAAGACTGCATGTGGCACTCTGTGCCATGGCTTAGTTGAGGTGTTAGGGTATGGGTTGGACTTGATGATCTTGAAGGTCTCTTCCAACCTAGTGATTCTGTGAAAATTATTTTTATTAAAAACAAAGCCTTGACAAAAATGTCAGTTTTATGATAATGCAAAGAACAGTTATATAAGTATGTGTTTATCTTGGCAAAGTGGTGCATGTACTGGACTGCATTATCCCACTTACTGTTTGTTCTGTCAATAGATTAACATATATCAAAACACTTGAGGACCATGTCAATTTATCTGCTAAAGAAAACAATTTAAGCACACTTCTCTGTCAAAACTATTACTTAAACTCTGGTTATCTGTCTCTCTCTGTGCCTCTTTCCCAATGGGAATATGCTACATGGGCCTATCAATGGCCAGTAGGGCTGAGACTTGGCTACAGTGGGGCTGCAAGAGAAGACAGCACAGGGAACAGTGCTGCATGAGCACACCACCACCTGTGCCAAACCCACCTGCACAGCTCCTAAGGGTCTACTGAAGCTGCCAGATGGAATTGCCAAAATGGAAAACAGACTCCAGTGCTGATAGGTACTGTGAAACAGAAGCACGTAGAAGGCATGCAGAAATAGAAAGGAAATCACAACAGGAGTTAGGGAAACATGTATTAGTGGAATAAACTGCTTCCCTTTTGCACTGGGAGGATCTCACTCAATGGGAAGAAAACACACAAATACATTGCTGCACAGCAAAGCAAAGGGATCCCAATATTCCTATAAATCAATGTGACTGGGCATGAACTTCAGAGAAGTCCAGGAATGAGCTCAAAGACTGAGAAGTAGCAATAATTCCAATTCTGAAATGCATTCTGCTTTACTCTTCAAGTGAAACAAAAGAACATTCATGACTCATAATACACAGAAGGGAAATCCTTACAGAGGTTATTAAAAAAAACCCCACCTTAATGACTTCTGCAAAGGAACCTCTCTGCTTTAATGGAAAACCCTGTGTCACAAGAGACTAAAGAGATCCTGATCTTGCTGAGCTGCTTTAATCAAGTCTAAACCCTTGGAACTTCTCCATTCTTCACACAACACCCTGGCTCATCCATCTCTCCTTCTGCAGCAGAGATTAAAAACCAGAGACACAAGGACCTTTGACTGCTTTATGAAATTCTCTACTCACTAATTGTTTTACTCTGGAGTAAAACTCAGCTATTACTATTACCTCTGAACAGTGCTGATTTTCAGGTTAGATGTCTATCTCGTATCCATTCTTTAATTTAGAAAACCTGTGAAGATAAAATTTTGTCTATTTTAACTGTAGTTAGCTGTTTGAGAATGGAGCTGCATTCTGAATTGAAAACTGGAAACCAAATTATGTTGTTCTGTTGTTGTGCAGGGGCACAGCCTCCACCTATTTTAAAATATGGACACTTCATATATATTTGTGAGGTAGCACAGTCTGTCTTGTTATTTTTAACATCTCTCTGATATTTGGATTCTGCCTAGTATCAGGATAGACCCCAAAAGCCACTCTTAGCAAATCCAGCCCTCCAAACCACACCAGACCTCCCCTCCTCATAAAAAAAAAATCCCTAAAACCCCAAACAAAAAATAAAAGCACTACAAAGAGAAGCCATGCAACTTGCTTATAGAAACTCCCTTTACTCCCATATTTGAATTACTGGAAAGTGTTGCACAGGTGAACTTTATATTCTCATTATTCACCTTTGCAAATGTTATATCCTGTGTACCATGTCACAACTAATTTTTTTTACCTTGATCTACTTTTCTACTTTTAGATTTTGGTCAAGGCAGTGCCAAAAATATGCATTTAAATTCAAGTATATATATAAATAACAAGAAAATAACAAACCCTTATAAATGTCACAACCTGACAGAATGGAAGAACTCAACTGGAATATAAATCAACTACTCAGGAGGAAGCTAGATGAATTATTTTAGTTGTCACAGAAATCAGTGTTTGTTTTGTGTTTCAAAAAGTTCTATCTTTCCTCTTGAACTTTTCAAATTTGCATTGCTATACAAAGCATAGTGCCTTCTGTTACCCAGTATGGAAAGAAGAGATTGATTTGTAGGTACTTTCCCTTTTTTCATTAAGTACTTTAAAGGTCTGTGGATGAAAGCTGCATCTAATTTTCAGGTCTGTACTGCTGCATTACTACAGATCACTTGATTCTTAAAGGGGAGTTTCCTTTTTACTCATTTTGTCTCTGCTCCCTGCCTTTTCCAGGCTTGTTCCTGTCCTGCAGCAGCGGTGTCCTGGTGAGCAGAAGGCGAGGGCTGAGCTAACCCCGAGCTCCAGCTGAGCCACTGCCCCTCTGCAGCAGGGCCTGGCCGCTGCCCCTGCAGCCCTGCTCCCCGCACACACCTCAGCTCCCTCCCTGCAGCCCTGCTCCCCGCACACACCTCAGCTCCCTCCCTGCAGCCCTGCTCCCCGTACACACCTCAGCTCCCTCCCTGCTGCTGGCCCTGCAGCCCTGCTCCCCGTACACACCTCCCCTCCCTCCCTGCAGCCCTGCTCCCCGTACACACCTCCCCTCCCTCCCTGCTGCTGCACACACAGCACGGCACATCCTGCATCTCTGGAGACATCAGAGGGAGCAGGTAAGAGACTTTTACCTGTAAGCCTTCAATTTAAGTCACACAGGAGGTTTACTTTGGCTGTTCTGTGATCCTCTTGGCTTTTTTTCCCTGTGTACGAGGAACGACCAAAACTAAAAGATGAAAGTGAGGAACAAATTCACAACTCCTTAAAGCAAACTAAATTTTTGGTCCATTTGTTTGGATTTAGTTTCTAAAATCTGTATAATGATTTACATCCTGTTTTTGGTGAAATTGTTAACTAGACGTCATACAACTGCCGTGGCATTTGCAATAGTAATTATGCTAAAATAATGATGGACACAAACACTTAGAAATCTTGATCATACAAGATTTTCTATGGAAAATTGTATTAAGTAAGATGGCTGAATTTTGTTATTTACCATAAACATTTATTAACATAAAGAATATTTTAAAGCATTTCAGCAAGGTCATATATTTGCTTTTATTTAAAA